GGACTTGCTCCTCAGTGCAGCGGGCTCGGTGGAGAAGGCGGCTCTGGCTTTGTGGATTGCACGGGAGCACCTTGGGAGGAACAACCTGCAGGGCGTCGATAGCCAGCAGTTCGATGACCTCCTACATCCGGATCACCTGGCATATCTACGGGAAGTACGAGCCCAAGGCATGCCCGCGAGATTCCAAGGCCAAAGAGAGAGAGTGGCTACAAAGCCGCATCCGAGAGCCAGGGCAGACTTGGGACAGGTCTATGCTCAGTTGATGAAGGACATCTTGAAGCACCGAGTGCTGGTGGCGTCATCGGAGCATCCAGCTTTGGACCACACAGTCTCCTCGCCTTTTGAGCTCGTCCCCAAGATGCTGCCGAACCGGACTTTGTCGACAGAGGCGAGATTGGTGCATGACCAGCGCCAGGTCAACGGGGGAACGCACAAAGACCTCCACCCACCAGCGGGCCAGCCGACGCATGACCAGGTGGTCAGACGCATCCTGTGGTTGAAAGCCCGGTACCCAGGGGTGCCAGTGGTTATGGCAAAGAAGGATGTGGCGGGGGCTTTTCGTCTGTTATGGGTCGACCCGAGAGACACGGAACTGTTTGCTGGTGATGTGCCATGGAAACCGGACTTGATTGGGCCGAGCGATGCATCTGGGAGGACCGGGTTCGACTCCAACCTGACGGTGATCTACCTGGTCTCGAGCTTTGGGTTTTCCGGGTCCCCGGGGGAGTGGACCGTCTGGGGCAGAGCTACGGAGGAGGTACACCGCGGCCTGAAGCCTTTGGATAGTCGGCGCGATGGGGAGGTGCACTTCTGCGGCAAGATCCTGGTCGACGATATGGTCCTGGTGGAACCCGTGATAGGCCTCACACCTTGGGTTTCGAGTGAAGCCTATGAATGGGCGGTGACACAGCCGCTGGGGGAGAAGGCCATCAACAAGCTCAAGGACGCGGAGGAAGGGTGCTTCAGCCGGCAGCAGACCGTTTGGGGCCTCACCATCAATGCGGAGACTGAGAGGATGTCGTTGCCAGAAGCTAGAATCCTCAAGGGTGCCTACCTCCTGGCTCAACCATGTTTCAACTATGGGCACAAGGACCTCCCGCTGAAGGAGCTGCAGAGGTTCCGGGGGATTGCAACAGGTTGGAGCACGGTCGTGGCAGGACTGAAGAATGAGCTCAAGAGTGCAGATGTGTTCCTTGGTGGGATGGATGGCAGGGCAGCAGTTCGCCCGCGCTTGATGCGGGAGGATGGGTCGGAGGCCGCCAACCAAGAGGAGCTGAAGGTCTGGGAAGCACTATGGGAGCTCTTCGAGGACTGCCGATGGCTTTGCTCCCGATCGGAGACTTGGGCCGAGAAGTTCGGGGGCGACATCAGGGAGCTACTGCCTCCTCTTGAGCGGCTAGCGCTCCCAGGTCAGCAAGGGGGAGGACCAGTCTTCGTATCATCGGACGCAACGCCTGATGTGGTCGCAGCTATCGACTGGACAAATGGGCTCGCTTGTCGGGAGGAGGTCGAGACGTTGAAACCCTGGATCAAGCAAGTGGTTGAAGCCGAGGGCCAAGGAGACCAGAAACTGGCTATCCATCTTGGGGAGACGCTCAGCTTTGTCGCCTTTGCCTGCAAAGTGGGTCACCAGTGGGAAGGCCGAGTGGTGGTGTACGCCGGGGACAACAAGGTCGTTTACTTCTGGATCACAAGCAGGAGGAGTGGTGTGCAGGCTGTGCGGTTGCTCATACGGGTCCTGAACCTGGTCGAGAAGAGGCACAGGTGCAGGATCCTGGGCGGCTGGTGGCGCACTTTCCACAATGAAGATGCGGACGCCCTCACCCGCTTGGATGAGAAGGAGGCAGTCGAGCTCATGGAGAAGAAGGGTTGGAGGCGTCAGGAGATCAAGCTGAGTATCCAGCAGGCCCTTGAGGACACTGAGCGGTTTGGCTTGTGTTTCCTGTCCTGGGCTGACCAGGAGGATCGTTGGGAGCTGATGCGGTTGAGAGAGCTCAGGGTCTTCAGGGCGATCTTCCGGCAGCCGGCGGACCTGTCCAAGGTCGAGGTGGTTGAATGGACACCGGGCCATCGTCATGTCAGAGACTGGCAGTATTTCTCGAGCGATGAAGGCAGCCCGGAGTACAAGATTGTGGCGGGCACCATCGGACCGGACCCGAGGGGCAGGAAGGTCAAGGAGTTCCTCCAGTTCCTCGACGGTGAGACATTTGATGTGGCGGTTCTCGAAGGCCCTGGCGAGGTCAAGTGGTCTGACATGGAGCGATGGGCGGAGGCCATTGGGTGGACCTGCATTTTGCAGGCGTTCCTGACGTCCGAGCTAGGTGAGGCCATGGTGCGACGGAGGGTAGCTGGTTTCATCTGCCCGGTGAGCAAAACAGCGGAGGCGGTGGAGTTCCTGATGGTGAAGGCTGTGACACCGCCAGCGATGGGTACCTACTTGCAGAAGGTGCGGGAGGGCAACTGCGTGGGCGTCCACAAGTTCGAGACAGCGATCAATGTGGGCCAGGAGGTGATGCTCCCGGTGGTGGCAGCACATGCCTGGGTCTGGGTGTTGCAGGGCCGACGCTTCATCTGGGAGATCCTGGTGGCGCAAATTGGTGAGCTTGAGGCGGAGAAGGAGGGCTGCAAGGCTACAGGCAGAAGGACAGCTCTGAGCCTGATCGGGGTCGCCGCGGAGCTCGCGAAGGAGGGTCACGAGGGAAAGGCAGGGATGTGCGCCGACTATGAGGACTACAAGTCTTTGGGTGCCTTGCTACGGTGGTTGCGGAGATGGAGGAGAGGAGATTTTCGACAAGCCGAACCTCAACGGAAGGCCGGAGGCTTTGAAGACCAGACGTCGGCCGTGTGGTTCTGGGGCGAGGAGCTATGGTTGGAAGCCCTGGGGCTTGAAGAGAGAAGCTCGGGGAAGTTCGAGGGTGTCGAGCAGAGGCGCTGTGGAGGACGCAAAAAGAAGGAGGTGAAGGTCGTGGAAGAGGACGGCGCCAAGTTCGTTGACTTGAACCCCGACTTCAACCCGGACATGGAGATCCAAGCGCAGGTGGAAGAATGGTTGGAGGCTCACCTGGTGGGGGACAAGGCAGCCAGCACCCAGCGGGCCTACCAAGCGGCCTGGCAGAAGTGGTGTGACTGGAGTCGCCGACAGGGATGGATGACGCCCTACCTCGACCACAAGGGCGACCCGATCCTCAACGAGAATAAGGTGCTGGGCTACCTCGGGTACCTGGGTTGGCTGGGGGCTTCGGTCGCCACGATGAAGCAGGCGGTGTTTGCGATCAAGGACGCGCGCAGGCGGGCAGGCCATGGCGACACCACCACCAAGACGCACCGCCTTTGGATCGTCCTGAACTCCTTGGAGAAGAACTCCGTGAAGAGGCCAAGACGCCTGGGAGTTACAGTGCAGATGCTCAAGTGGATCGGGAAGCGAATGGCCACGGGAGCAGAGTCCTTCGGCGAGCTCAAGGTGGACTGCAGGATGGTGCATGCCGCCATGGTGACGGGCTGGTTCTTCATGCTCCGAGCTCGGGAATTCGCGGACTCCAATGGGGTGGACCAGGAAATGATCCTCCGGGGACAAGATGTCTCGCTGACCACTCGAGGGCAAGGGGATGAGGAGAACCCGCAGGAGGTGACGATGCAGTTCAGGAAGACGAAGGCCGACCAGGAGGCGTTTGGCACGTGCAAGACTATGCTCAAGACTGGGGTCGAGCATGTCTGTGTGGTCACGGCCTTGCACCGCCTGCGAGAAGTGGCACCTCGTCGTTTCGGGTCCGGGCCAGAGAGTCACCTGCCTTTGTTCCGATGGGCCTCAGGAGGGGTCATCAAACGCCTCGAGATCCAGAACTTGCTGCAGCGAGCCGCCAAGTCGCTGGGCTTGCCGGCGGAGCGCTTCCAGTCGCACTCGCTGCGCATTGGGGGTGCCTCGGCGCTCTACCAGGCAACCGGGGAGATCGAGGTCGTGAAGAGGACTGGAAGGTGGACGTCTTCAGCCGTGCAGAGATACCTACACGATTCAAGAGATGTGCTGTCGGGCCTGGCGAATAAGATGGCGGAGGTCGACCAGCACGTCCACTACACCTAGACGGTGAGAAAGGTCAGCATGCAGACCAGAGCGCTCAGTGGGGTGGTGGCTCAAGGCCATAGAACGGCGAAGACCGTAGGGCCGAGACACCAACTGAGTGCTTTGCAGCAGAAAAGGTGCTGACTGCTATGCACTAAGTGTCTATATATCGTTGAATGACGGTTACTTTGCAGATGGCTGTGTGCTCCCAGTTTCTTTTGTTCTGAGCTCAAGCTTCTGCACGCTAAGCGTTTTCCCACAAAGCCTGAACTGGAAAACGGTGGTGGTTGATCTGCCTTCAGAGATTCGCAGCGCATTTGTTTTACATGTAAAAGAAATGCGTCGTTTTGCAGTCGAAGTTTCACAATACTCTCTCGCTCTTGGTACGTCTCTTCGTGTTTGTCATCCCGGTCTCCACCCCTTTGTGGACAACTCATACACACACTTTCTCTGGCCAACAGCAGATATTTTTTGCATATTTTTTTTGGTGGTTACCCAACCCCCCCGGATTTCTTAAAGAGAGCCACTTTGGGCTGTCTGTCCTTTGGCGTCCAGAAACCTGGCCGGTTTGGGCCCAGGATCAAGTACGGGTATTCAGCACTGGATGCTCACATTTTGTTGATCACCAGTAGCAGTACATCAGTCGATTTCTGTTTGATTTTGATGTCAATATTGCGAAGACTTTACGTGTCCATAGCCATAGCCAAACATGTTGCATTACAGGCTTTCTTCAAACTCTGAAAAGCGAACGATGCTAACGTTGTCACTATGGAGAAACCAGCGGCAATCATTTCGAACTAGAACCAATGGCAAATGTGGTGTGCTTTGCTGTGATTGCATTGTTTGGCGAACTGCAACGACAAGAGTACTGCTGACAGACACTCATAAGGTGACTACCAAAGCTGAGATGGAGGGTTTGCATTTTGCTGTGTTGTCAACAGAGGTGATGTCTCCTGAAGCTTTGGCGGTTCCCCCAGCAAAGACTGATTGTTTTCAAACAAATCCGACGTTACACTGCACATCAGTCTGGTCTTCAAGGTTCCTCCTGGGATTTCCTTTCCAGAGGCAGGTTTCTTGGATTTGAGCGCGTGAGCCAGCATTGTGCCTCTGGACTAGACTCTATACAGAAAGAGTCTTCAGGAGGCAGATCTTGGCCCCTTGATGCCCAGTAGCCCTGTTGCACACACAGCAAGAGGCCTAGCAGTACCTGCCTAGTAGGCTTGTGCCCAAATGTCAGAAACAACCTAGGTTCGCCTGGATACCACCATCGGAATCATAGACATCATCGTGCGACCGGATTGGGCTTTGACCTCTGAACTTGGTCAACCGACTGGATTTGCCCAACTTGTTAGGAACAAGAAGCTACTAGGGGCTCCTGGCATCGCTACTAGGAGCAAGGACGCTACTAGAAGCTATTAGTCAATTTTGTCAACTTTCAAAGAGCAGGCGCCCTACGGAGCCCGCCGCTTTCTCCAGCCAGGAGCACAGCGCTGGTTTTCCGCGAAGAGGTTTCAAGTAATGTCACCATAAGTGAACATACTGTACTTTAACATACTCGTACCTTCAAGTGCGAGAAGCAGCAACACTCTCTGCGGGTGCTGTGCTTGCCACAAAGGCTTGCATATTGTGGCGACTTAGATGGGCTTGCATTCTACCGTGCTGTCAGAGGAGCCTGAGCTGATTGGGTGGACAAATGCTTTTGGTGCTTTGATGCGGCTCATCATAAAAAGACAATAACACGTAACACATGAATCACATTTCTATTTTGTGAGCTTCGAAGCTGTCACCTCCAGCACAGGATGCTTGTCCCAGTTTGGTCTTCCAGCCAAGAGGCAGTAGCGATGGTTGCGACAAACACACGCACCTGTGAACATATACAGTACACATATACACATATAATGATGTGTACTGTATATCTAATATACACACATATATATATATATATATGTATATATATATATTCACATATACATTCATGCCTCGGTTGAATTGGCAGGCAGTGGCCTCCTTTGCCGGACGACCCAAAGACCGGTGTGCCCTTTCTGCTTGGAGCAGTGTGTTTTGTCAGAAGCTTGGTTTGAGAGCTCCTGGCCAAATGTTGCTTCAACACATCATCACTGCTGAGGCTGCAGCGGGGGAGAATTCACGCAAGTCGACGTCATCTTGCTGAAAGCATGATTCTGTATGCAAATTCCTGGGGTGTGGGAGAGCTGCAGTAGAAAGGTTTTTTTGATTGGTCTACTAGTCTACTAGTCTCCAACTGGGTTCATGAAGACTGTGTAGTGTACTAGGGGGACAATGGAGGGTGGAAGGTTCAGAAATGATTTCACTCTGCACTCGAATGCTCTAGATTCCATTGTCTTCCTGTTTGTTCTTGCTCTTCTATCGGATTCTATCGTATCTCACGATCTTAGGGCCTCTACAAATTACAAGATCTGTGCTCTTGTTCCATTCTCTCCACTTCCTTGCTCACTCCACCAATTCACTCACTCCACTTGCTTGGTCTCTCCCCCGCTCACTCGTGCGCAAACCACGAAAGGTAGCCTGGTAAGGGCCGCCTTGAGTTTGCTTTGCGAAGCAAAGCGGTAGCGTGAACAGCCAGCTCGGGACCAATTATTGATATATCAATTCTATTGGCCCCCGTCCCTCCCTTCCATAGTATTAATAAATCATTTGGTGACCCCCCTCGCCAGCACCACTAGCATCGCCCATCATAACTGGCAGCAACAACAATGTTTATCTGTCTATGTGTCTATCTATCTATCTATCCATCCATCCATCCATCCATCCATCTATCTATCTATCAGCCTTTCAGGGTCGAGAGGCTTCATCCGGCCACGTCCTCTCAATGACGCTTCGTTGATGGGCACCCGGTTGCTGGCTCGCATGGGGTCCGGGCGGCCCCTTCGTTCGCTGACTGCCTTGTTGGTGCTTCTCACCGTGCTCAGCACCTCTTGGACCCATCTGTCTATCTACCTATCTATCTACCTATCTATGTAGCTATCTAGCTATCTAGCTAGCTAGCTAGCTATTTGGCTATCTGTCTATCAATTTATCTATCTGCATGTGCTATTGCAAGCAAACAAGTGAATCGCTGACCTTCATATCCTTCATACTGGCCGAGGTAGGTGAAACTTGCTTGCATAAGTTTACCTCATAGTCTCATGCAATGTTTTTGCAACACGGATGCCCGGTTGCTTGACTGTGTCAGTGAGTGCATTCACTGCACTCCCAAGACAAAACATATGAAAATTATTCAGACCAGCTCGCACTTGCCATGAACTTTGCGTGGTTCTTGTGGTTGGCCAACCTTATCGAGTCGACCTCCATCATCATGCTTGTTTGTGCTTCCCCCTCATGCGGATCTATCGCTAGTCAGCCCGCTTCTACTTTTATTTGCTGTAATTTATGCTGCTGTACATTGCGCGACTTCTGGTTGATCCACTTTGCACAACACCTTTTCTGGGAGTCTGCAAGATCATGCAAAGCCAAGCTAGCAAGAGCTCTCCGATCCTTTCATGACCTCAAGACAACTGGGACTAGACTTTATGAAGGATTTGGGCCTGGTCCGCTTGAATTCAGTGTTGATTGTATTGTACAAACACTAATTGCGAGCTTGGATCATGAATTTTTGTGTTTGAGTTGCCAAGGTTGTTTATTTGCACCGGGGATATGATTTTCCGGCATGTAAATTTTTGCACGTCATGTCAGGTCGCTGACTTGGTACATGACTTTATGAGGACTTGGTATGCGAATCTTGTTTCGTCATGGCAGGTCACACTGCTTTGGGGGAGAAGCCTGGGAAACGCTGGGATCTAAAGCCGCAGGCCTTTTGTAGGCGACCTGTAGGGAAACCGAAGTGGCTTCAGCTCTGAGGCCAATTGGAGCTGTTGCTGAAGTTTCCCTGGATACGCCAGCTTCTTAACTTAGTGTATTCAAGCATTCAATTGAACGACGGCCTCTCAGTTCTCAGTCTTCGAGACATGACACAAACGACTCAATGGACTCACAGCGTAGAGAAGGTTGGAGCGCATCGAGACGTGCTATGGAGACATTGCTGAATGCAATGGGCCGCCGTCCAAGTTTTTGTTGACAGGATGGCTTTAGCATGTTCGCAAACTCGCGGTTGAGGAGTGGTCCTGACACCAGCCGAATTCATGCAGAGGCAATAGTCCACCATTGCCTGCACCTGCGCATCTTTCTTCCGAGCAATCTCATGCCTAGCAGGGTGATGCCTACTTGGCGGAGAACTTCCCAAAACTCACTTACATCAGAACCGCAAAATGCCTTGACTGGCTGTATCCTCAGCATCGAAGAAGGATGAAGTATGTGTCCATTAAATGGCAGTCTTGTGCAGTTGATTTGCGGAGCAAGTAGCATAGTCATTCACCACTAAAGTTTATACCAGGCCTTTGGCACGAGGCAGGGGACAGATTTGGCAAGATGGATTATTGCTAAGCACGCACCCATGCAGGAGCTTGCCCTGAGGTGCGCTCAGACTTGCAACAACCTCAGGGAGAAAAATGTAACTCTAGATTTTCCGAATGTACAGATGTACCCACTGCAAAGCCAAGTGATCAGGGGAGCGGACCCGGCAGCATTTAGTGCCTTTTGTGCTGCAAACTCGCGCCGACCCAACCTGCTTAACAGGCGATTGAATCTTTGTCCAATGCAATCTCTCACAGGTTTTTCCCCAATAGCCATGCTATGGGGTCTTGCAAAACTAATAGGCGGACGGGCGCCGTCGGGTCACCGTCAGAGCTGGTGGGCGGATGGTGTCCCGGTCATGTTTTGATGGCGTCCGGGTCATGTGATGCTGGTGTCCCGGTCATGTTGTGATGGTGTCCCGGTCATGTTTTGAAGGTGTCCCGGTCATGTTGTGATGGTGTCCCGGTCATGTTGTGATGGTGTCCCGGTCATGTTTTGATGGTGTCCTGATCATGTGATGGTGGCGCGGTCATGTTGTGATGGTGTCCCGATCATGTTTTGATTGTGTCCCAGTCATGTTGTGATGGTGTCCCGGTCGTGTTTTGATGGTGTCCCGGTCATGTTTTGATGGTGTCCCGGTCATGTGATGGTGTCCCGGTCATGTTGTGATGGTGTCCCGGTCATGTTTTGATGGTGTCCCGATCGTGTTGTGACGGTGTCCCGGTCATGTTTTGATGGTGTCCCGGTCATGTTTTGATGGTGTCCCGATCATGTGATGGTGGCGCGGTCATGTTGTGATGGTGTCCCGGTCATGTTTTGATGGTGTCCCGGTCATGTTGTGACGGTGTCCCGGTCATGTTTTGATGGTGTCCCGGTCGTGTTGTGACGGTGTCCCGGTCATGTTTTGATGGTGTCCGGGTCATGTGACGGTGTCCCGGTCATGTTGTGATGGTGTCCTGGTCATCTTGTGATGGT